ACTTGCTGATAAAAAGAGACTTAAACCAGTAATAAAATCATAGTTCAGCAGTAATCTAAACTTCTCAATTTAATACAGTCATCCATTAAATAAACAGCAACAACAAAAGCCAAGCAGCAGCAAATATCCATCTAATCACGTCTTCATATGCTCTTTCGTCCTCCTGCCATTTTATAAAAATAGCAGCTCCAAAGGGGTGAGAAAAATCCCAGTAGTGTGATAACAAAACCAATAATGCAACAATACTAACTAGATACAGAATTACAAAGCAGTCGCATCATCAAGTTAAATCTGGCAGATACTAAACTTTATCATATTGCGTATATAACGCCAAATATACTAATCAAGATGCGTATATAACGCCTAATATACTAGTCAAGATGCGTATATAACGCCAAAAATGTACAGCACCGTCGTGCTTGTACACACAAGTACAGTGGAGGTCCCTCCCTTAATGGCTCCTCAGAGGTTCCAACTGTAACCTAAACAGACTGAAGCCAAGTGTCCCATACCCTGGTACCGCAAGGATGCCTACATGATGCGTGCTCAAACGTATGCATAGTTTTCGAAAACATTTCCAGTTACAAACATGAAACTTGTGCATGTATGATATGTCATGGTTCACACGCAACATACAAATAAAAATTATGAATGTACATGCATGACTAGATAATATTCAAGATTTCATATAGCTTATGGATTCAATATCAAGATGGTGCAGAATAATCAAAACAAGAATAAGCAGCCTTTCAAGTCCAAAACAGAACCCATATACATAACCAAGATACATATCTCATGGAGTCCAAGATCAAGATGCTGAATCAAAATAATTTCTCAAGACAAATATCCAGCAATTCAAACCATGAGCAGAATCATATACAAAATTCCAAACTGAGGCACAAGAGAGCAACGTTCACAATTCATGCTCTAGCTAGCAGTCACAAAAGGTAATGTCACCAGACACTTACCTCACACGTCACCAATTTAATTACCAGGCAGCAGCTAAACTGATCCAAAGTCTCACAAAGTATGTGCACCTATAGGTACATACAAGCGCAATCCAATCAGAATACGTTCTAAGCTTCTCCTTATAAATTACCAACGAGTTTCCAAGCTTAAGGGTTCATGCACCCATTCGGCCACCATGGCCATTTTCCCAACAATATTCTGATTTCAATTTATTCTTTACCAACATTTTACAGCAAGGATTCTTAAGTTTCCTAAACAAGGCAGAATCGGTTTTTGATCCAAAGATTACGCAAGATTTTTTTTTTTTTTTTTGATAACAGATTACGCAAGATTTAATTCATTTAATTTCTACCTTACTACTCATGAAATGCGCACAAGAGAACCCATTTAGCATGCTGACTATCTAATTTAAAAGGGAAACACATTAATGCTCACTAAAACAGAATCGGTCTTAATCATACAATGGGCTCATGATATTAATTCGAGGATTTAGCTTGACAAGGCCAAGGGTGTGTGTGAATGAAATCCTAACATCATGCTGAATATTTAAGCTAAATAGGACTTAGTGCACCACAAATTTTACCAAGTCAGAATTGATCTCATCAAGATCAAACATTATGAATAACTTATTTCAAAACTCCACTGATTCATATAATGGAATGTCTCCTTAAACCAATTGAATGAACAGCGAAGCAGAGGCACACTTTACCTCTTCGAAATAGGACGCACAACCAAGTAAGGGAGGAAAGAAATGAAGACTTGATAATGGAGGTGATCCTTTAGGGGTCCATGGTTTTTGGGAGATGACAATGGAAGGAATGATGCTGAGGTTTTTTTCTATTTTACAAGGAGAGGTCAGAATTCATCTTGCTTTTCTCCCTCCAAGAGTATGTGAAAAAATAGAGGGATGATGGGATGAAGCGTCAGACTATGAGGGTTCTGTGTAACCAAACTAGATTCTCCAACTCAACTCTAAAGAAAACAATGCTTGGGGTGAAGGAGAAATGGCTGGAAGGTTGATTTAGATTGTAAACAAGATCAGAACTTATCCTAGACTTCCTTCTCTATATGGGGCGCTAAAAAGGGGAAGTACTTGGTGCAGGTTTTATGCCCAAAGATATTACATGCAAACTGACCTCATGCTCCCCATTGGTTGTATGCTATAAGGCTGGAATAGTGTTTAAAATAAAGCTGAATGGTTTTGTATAAAGTAACAAGCAAGGTCAGCTTTTTGGTCTCTTCTAGCGCATGTGAGGAAGGGATGGAGAGGCTGATTGGAGTTGTTTGAAAGAAAGCCAAGTCAGAATTTTTTGTTGCTTTTACTCTACCCTAGGCGCAAACTTAAAGGGGAGCAAGGATAAGGAAGGTGGCGCACATGCATTTGTTTGAAGAGATTTATTTTATCTTTTTGCCATGTGTTGGTTCTAATCCAATCATGGCTTCCTTGTAAACTTCTTAGGATAAGGTAGGATGGATAAGTGTTTGGGTGGGATCTAAAATGTTCCTAAAGACCCTTAGGGCTTCGGCCAAATCAAGATTTGGGGCTACAAATTTACAAGTCCATTAGTGTTACTAATTTAAATACTAGCCCAAAAATTTTATAAGTTCCCAAGTCTTTTAAATATTTTTAATATTTCAATATGTTATTATTATTTTATTTCTACATCTTCCAACTAAGGCTTCACATCCCTAAAATAAATTCTCACTTATCATAATAATTCAAATAATTCCCTAGCTCAACATTAATTCCATACTAATAACCAAATAATTTGAAGGCCAAACGAATACTACATGTAATTCGAATTCTCTCACATGCATTCTCATGCCTTATTGTATTTTATGTATTTTTCCTAATTACGTGGGATGTTACAGTTAAATTCAATATGTGTGTAGAACAATGCAATTAAAAAAAGCTCCATTACATAACAACCAATTTTGCATATTGAGTTGACTTCTCAAAATACCTATCATAGTGTAATTGATAGATGCATTCTCCAAAGTAATACTAAAAATTTTCTTCTCTGTTTCCCAGTCCTTCAACATATCAAGTATTTGTTGTGACAACTAAAACCCAGTGTGAGGAGGAGGCACGTGACCATTTTGTATAAACATAATGAGCGGTTAAATATATGTAACCATTACTGTTAACGATTGTCCATAAATCTGAAGTTAAGCATATCCTATTACATATGCTAGCTAACATGTTTATAAGCTTCTCATTCTTTTTCATGTAAGCATTGAAGACATCTTTTTTAAGATTATTTATAGAAATGTGAATCAAGTCAAGACATATGCAAGAATGCCAACGCCTAAACTTCTTATACTCAACAAACTTAAAGGGAATACCGTGTTCAATAACTGTTCCAGCATACATCTCATGTGATATCCTTTGATCTATTTTCATAGACTTTAGTTTGCCTTGCATATCTAACATGACTTGACCAACATCTTCAAATTTTATTTGTTTGCACTTATTGAAGTGATAATTTAAGCTTGACGTACCATATTGCTTTCCACCCACGTTGTCCTCTTTCTTACAAGCATTGCATCTTGCCCTATCAATTGCATCTTTTCCCGGTCCCATCTATGTGAAATATTTCCAACACTCTGATGTTGTTGACTTGGCTTTTTTGTAGCCGGTTCAACCGATTTAGATCCTTCTTCAATCTCAATGTTTAATTTTTCAGCATCAATATCAATAATATTATTAATTGATTCCATTTGCAACACAATATGTTGTTGCCATAACATTCATTAGATTATAAAGGTAAGAATCTTAATCTATTCAAGACTCAATATAGTTCGAAATAAAGTGTACAATTAGTTATAGAGAAAATAAAACCCTCACACTAGATGACTCCACAAACAATGGTTATAATTTTCTATCAGAGAAGTTCAGGAAATATCGAACAATAAGATTATATATATATATATATACAGACACACACACACACACTAGCATTTTGACGTATGGAAAATGCTTGCTTCATGAGCAAAGAAACAAACGCATAGTTATGGTATACATGAGTAGTTCATATTAACATGGATAAACTAAATGAGCTAATATGAAATGAGCTAATAAAGGGTTGTCATAACTCAACAATCTATGTGTAGTTTGTCAAATGGCAAGCAAGGCTATAGTTTTATCTATGCATATGTGCAATCATTTATGCTCCAAGTGATACAAAGCCTATGGTGTGTGTGGCCATCCCCTAAATGACTACAAAATTGCCATTACAATACAATATAGTTTTTGTGGTGTTTTCCTAGCAGTGGTTTTGCAACACCCATAAATCTTAAACTTTTTAAAAATATTTCTAGAATAGAGAAATTTTCAAAAATAATATTTAATTATTTATTATGATGACATAAAAATTATGAAAGCTAAACTAAAATCCATTTGAAAAATAATTATTGCCATACCTATAACGGGGACAAATGCAACACTAAACTCATCATACTCTTATACCAAAAATATATCTAACACACTTATTAAAAATTTCAAATTGTGAAATCATATAGTATGGTGTAACTTGAAATATGTTTGTTACAATTATTAAATTTCTAAAACCAAATAGACATAAAGATTATAATATCTAGACTTACCTTCAAATGATCGAGAAGTTATCCTTATTGCTAGCCCCAACATTTGAAACTTGTTTTACTGGGAGTCTCTTCCCCCCGAAAGATCATTACATCACACAAACACAAATAATCAATAAAAACTGATAATCCCAATCTAAAATACAATTATAATAATAATTTTAATATTCCATCATTATCAACTCAAGCATTAATCAATATATCTTATTGTCATAATTAATTTTATTTAGTGGGAAGTGAATCACTAGGATATAGCAACACTTAGGTGGATTTAGTGATGATTAAATCACTCTTAAGTTAAATAATTATTTTGATGCTTTTTTAAAATATAAAATAATCTTTTTAAAATCTTAGTGGTAATTTTGGTAATGTGGAACAATATCAATAATAGAGATGCTCTAACTTCATCACGACCCCAATAAAAGGAACGATTGTCAACAAAGAATGCCTCTAGGGATTTGGTGCATCCCAAGTGTATTGCTTTTTAGCTTGGCTCCTCTTTCACAGTGTTCGTTGAAATCATCCATCTCTTGCCCTGCATCGCGCCACACCACTTAGGTTTGTCCTCTACACTACTCATCTGTTGTTTCGATTATAGTAATTTAAGATCCAAAGTCGATTATCTTAAATTTGTAAATGCTTTTGCTCGTTCTCTCTTCCATTAATACTCTTTTATTTATTATTTTTTGGTCTGATTAATATTTGGAGTTTTAGGTGTTAGGATTTATGGTGTTTCTTTTTTGGTTCGATTTGTGTTTACGACGTTACTTGTGAATGACAAGATTATTCGGGTAGCTTTACTCTTTTGTTGTCTTTTATCTTTTCTGACACAAAATTTGAGCATATTTCTTCTTCATAGATCTAGAGTCGTAAGGATTGGGACTTCATTCTTTACTTCTTTGGTAAGTTTTCATTTTGAATCTAAGTCTTAGCTTTATTGCTTCTATGGTAAGTTTTCACCTTTTTATTCTTAGTTTTGTATTTTATTAGGAAATTTTCTTTGCCTTAACAACGATCTTAAATTATTGAGTATGTTTTTGAATTTGAACTAATATATATATATATATATATATATATATATATATATATAGGGGCAGTAATGTCGAGTCAATAACTCATTGGCTAAACAGAAAGAAAGAACGAAAACAAGAATTACGAGAAAATACTATTTCTCTTTTCTAAATTTTATTAACAAAAAGCAATGAAGTAACAATAGGGTTCTCCAAGCCTTAAATAGCCAAAACAAAAAAAAATCAGACAGAATCAAAAGGAATAATCACAATCAAAGAAGATAACACACAATTAACTCACACTTAAACATAGTCTAATAATAATAAAGGTAAACAACTATTTTTTTTTAAAAGCCCCAACTTATGGAATAAACTATGAAAAAACCCACAACTATTTATGCCCATGGCAAAACAATAGGTCTTGCTCAGAAGCCCATTTCGAATTGCCTATCCAAATATGAGTCGAATCCAAGTCAGTCTCCCAGGTTCAACATCCTCCCCTACCAAAAGAAGATCCATCCTTGAATCTAACGATTTTTCATGGTTACTCTCGCCCGTTATACCCCCATCGTCATCATGATAAGGAGACAAGTTATACACATTGAAAGTACTAGAAACATTATATTCTCCGAGAAGTTCAATCTTGTAAGAATTGTTGTTGATCTTCTCGAGCACCTTAAAGGGACCATCAGCTTTAGGTAGTTTGTCCAACCTGTTACTATAAAATGTTCCTTCATATGATGGATCGACAACATATCTCCTTTCTTGAAAATGACTTGATTCCTATGCATATTAGCTTGCTGCTTATATTTTACATTCAGCTTCTAAATATGATCATGAACCTGTGAATGTAACTCTTCTTGCTCCTCAGTGCTCATCTTATATGCACTTTGTTGGGAATAACAGCTACTGCCAAAAGGTCAATGCAATATTGGATGTCTTTCATAGGTGGCAGTTCCGGTGACATCTCTTTAGGAACCACATAAGCAAAGTCCTCTAGCAACGACGTAACCTGCGAAGAAATGTCTGAAACACCATAATTTTGTTCCATCACCACACAAGCAAATATCTCAATGGCATTGTCAGACTCTTTTTGGAATTCACTTTGGACAATATAATGTTCTTCGCCTTCTCCCTCAAGTTAGATGGACCTAAGGTAATAGTTAGTATGCCTTATCCCCGCTGGTGCACATGATGCATAATATATTGTGTTGGAGCCACAACTCATCATAAATGATGTCAACATTCAACACCCTTCGGACAACCAAGGATTCATCTCAATCACCATAAATAATCTCACCTTCTTTAGACCTTCCATCTGCCTGATCTTCTTCGTATTCATCATAGATGGGGCCTATATCATCTGCTGGAGTATTGATAAGAGTAACATATTGTGGGTTTAGATAATTAGCAGTGAAGTGCCCCAAACCCCGAAACTTGAAATATCTCTTCGCTTTAGCACCTCTCTTTCCTACTTCACCACTGATTGATCCTTCTTTGCTCCCTGGTTTAGGGTTAGAAAGATTCTCCCCTCCATTAGTGTTAGTCGCTGAGCCCAATAGCTCCTCGCTGTCAGAAGATCTATGTTGGAATTTAGAAGTATTTTTTTCTCTTACACTTCCTCTCTATCTTCAAAGCTAGTCGATACACATCCTCATATGACCAATATTGCTGTAGCATATGGCATTTGAGATCTTAGTCATCGATCATTCTAGGTAGCGAGCAATCAATTGTTCGTTCTCCTCTGCGATATCTCAACGCATCCACAGACGATCAAACTCAGTTGTATACTGTCTAACTGATAGGTCTTGCTACTTAAGATTATGATACTCAATAAATGCCTCCTACCAGAAGCAAATATGTAAGGATTTTTTATGCAACAGTTACTTTATCTTATCCCAACTCTTGATCTTCAACTTCTCTTCTTTGTTTCTCTGCTTCTTAATGTATTCCCACCATATTGAGGCATACTTCCTTAGTTCGACAGTGTAACACCCCGTGTTAACCCGATTTGTTATCATGTCATCGTATTAAGCCACGCTTAATTTAAAAATGCGGAATATCTTTTTCTTTTCAATTATGACATCATTATCATTAGCCGAGTTGAATTACTTAATTCATTTCAAAAAAATAACGCCTGTATGTAAATTGCAATTCAACAACTAACTGAAATACCTCGTATATAATAAATGGGTTTTTACTCACGGAGCTACAACACGTAGACCGGACAACCTGATAGTTTATACAACACAGATAAACTTAAACATCAAGGGAAATCAAAGTGGCATGGACAAATCCCATGCTCACCAAATAAGGCACAAGCCCAACAGCAGTCTCAACTCAATAATCATAAATGACAGAAAGCATAAACAACATCCAGCAATATCAGCATACTTCTAACTCAGCTCTGGCCTCCTGCCGCCCGAGGTCTCAACCCCCGAGTTACCTGAACCTGAAATATGTGCCCCAAACGTGGGGTGAGATCTCTAAATAGAAATCTCAGTAAGACAAGGGGTCCTCAAGGATCTTCCACCCCAAGCTCACTTACATGTGCAATATAAGTTCAAAAAGCATTTATCATCATAAGTTCCAAAACTATGCAGTGCAACAGATATTTATGCCATGTGTGTTATGACTATTCTACAGGCCAGAGAAATGCAGAACGTACGTCTACAACCCCACAATAAGTACAAGGAACACCGCTTGCACCTCACCCACAGCCTCACCATCTTGTATGTCCCCACATACTCAGGCTTACCGTATAGGTGGAACACCACATGCATATCATAAAGGCACTCGCATATAACAGCTCAATAGCATTTATCAAAACAATACATGAAAACAACATCATGCATATAAACCATCCCCCCATGGGACATGGTGGAACATACAATAGCTAAACCGAGGACACGAAATCTTACCTTGCAAGCTAACTATCCAATGCCAAGAATCCACACTAGATCAAAGCTCAAACACAGCAGAATCACAATCTATTTTGGACCAACAATATATCAATAGTCATACTTAACAAGCATATGACAAAAGACAACGCCTTTCCTTTACGTTTTACATCTTTAGGCTTCTCACAAAGCCATAAGCCCTTAACCACATGTTACTAACTTAAATTAATCATCACAGAAGTCCCACTTCATCAATATAGGGTCCACAAACCCATAACATCATTCTGTATGAACAGTGCAGCTACTGTCCCTCGAAAACTATCCGGATATTTGTCGGGGACGTATCCGGATATCCATATCCGGATATCATATCCGGATATCCATATCCGGATATTACAAGTGACATATCCAAATATCAATATCCAGATATCTAAGGACCCCATATCTGAATACCAATATCTGGGTATTTCGCGAGATATCCTTCACAAAGGTGGTTCATTTCATGCATACAGAAGCTCAAACATGCAATTTAAGGTGTGTTTAACATTACCCAACCTTAAGTTATGATCTTTAATCCATTACATGCATCAAGGTTCTATTTTAAACCAATAAACTCATGAACAAAGGTGATGATCATACCACAAGCTCAAAATAGCAAATGATGATGCTCTTGGAGCTCACTTGAAGCTCCCAAAGTCCAGCACACACAAGGACACGAAAATGGCGATCAAGAGTGGTTCTTTCACACTAAAGGCCACTCCTTGAAGCTTTCACACTAAAGGCCACTCCTTGAAGCTCCCACAACCAAGACAAAGCTCCCACCACACAACTCAAGAACTCAGCCCCACACTTACACATAAGACAGCTCCCTCAACTCAGAAGATGGTACCTTTCACCCTCACCAATGCTCACACCCAAGTGTTTACTTGTTTAAAGGTGAAGAAATCAAAGAAAGTAGGTGACTTGGAGGTTTTCTCATGCAAAGGTGACCAAGGAGAAGGGTGGCAGCAGCCAAGCTCTCAGAACTTCACGTAGGAGACACAAAATTTGACCTAGAAATATGTGCCAAGCCTATTTATAGGCGGTTTAAGTTTTAAACGCGCAGTATTAGCATTAATAGCTAAACTTAGAATTTTAATCCCAAACTTAAGATTCTGACTCTACTCATTTTTCTAAGATTTGTCATATTTTTATTTTATTTTTCACAGCACCTTTCTGGTACGCGCTTTTCCATAGCCAGTATCAGTTCTGGCACCAGTTCTCATTATTTTGACTTGAAACTTGTTTTACAAGTCCTATATAATATTCTAGGAATATTCATGCACTTATTATAATTTTTCGGGATATTTCATAGGTACACATTTATACTGAGTAGCAGAACCGGTATCTGCACTTTTCGTCCGAAAAGCGACTTTCAGCATTATAACTCACTTACCATATTTATTTAAGCCTTCTCATAATTATTAAGGTCAATTATGGAATTATTTCCCAATTTCGTATAATTCATTAATTAACTTCCTTAATTAACGGTGCGGGTTCTTACAGACAGCGACCAGATTGACCTTACGTCAAGTCTTTGATGCCAAAGACCCTTTCGACGGTGTGTAACCAGTCGATGAACTCATCTTGATGAGTGGTACCCTTGAATTTTGGGATCTTAATCTTCACCTTAATATTAACAAAAAAGGATTGAACGCCTGGTTGACTTTTCCCTTGTCTATCCTAGTTCCAAAATGAGTTTTTGCTCATTTCCTCCAAATGAGATGATCTTTTAGACTCTCTTCCTTCATCTGACTTGTCCAACTGTGTTAGGGTAAACAGTTGTTCGAGCTCCTAAATTAGTCTATCTTTTTTTGCCATTGCAGCATCTTACGTATCGATGTGTAGTTGTTTGTCATCACCGTTAATGGTGTTACCACGCCCTCTATCGCCGCCACCTCAATCCTGTCATCCCTGACCTCGACTGCCATTGTTCTGTTCAGTCATTTATGTGACAGTCAAACCTTCGATTACCAAATAATGCCAAAGTAGTAACTCATTGGCTAAACAGAAAGAAAAAATCAAAACAAGAATTGTAAGAAAATAATATTTCTGTTTTCTAAATTTTATTAACCAACTAGCAATAAGTTTCTCCAAGCCTTAAATAGGCAAACAAAACAAAATGAAAATAAAGTCAAATAGAACCAAAAGGAGTCATGCGCAGTCAAAAGAGATAATGCACAATCAACGTACACTCAAACATAATCTAATAATAACAAAAAAGGTAAATAACTAATAATTATTGAAAATCCCTAAATTATAGAATAAACTATAGAAAAACCCAAAACTATTGATGCCTATGGCAAAGCAATCGGCCTTGCTCAGAAGCCCATTTCAAGTTGCATGTCCAAATTTGAGCCCAATTCAAGTCAGTCAAATCTTAATCGTTAATTTATTTGGTCACACTTATTAATTAATTATTAATTTTGAATAAATTATAACCGTCAAATTGGTGAAAATTAATTATTAAGATTTGATGTCAAATGTTTATGTCCTTACATATATATATATATATATATATATATATATATATATATATATATATAGTTGTGTGTTCTATCCTATGACACAATTTCTTTTAAACATTAATATGTTTTTATTGATCAAAATTACACCATCGATGTTGTAATCAGTATATACCTTCAAGTTATTTGTTTTATGGTCCATGAAGGCATTGAGTCTTGTATTTTTGCAAGTTAAATTATTTTTTAAGCATTTGGTATTTTTTTTTTTTTTTGAGTTGTATGTTTATTTTTGAAAGATCTGTTCAAAGAAATATATTAATTTAGTGTGAAAAATAAAGTTAATGGGTATTAAGTGAAGAGTGATGAAAGGTAATAAAAAATAGCTCTATTCATTTGGTTCATGCACGTCACAATGTAGTAAAGTACAGATACTTTTGAAATAAAAATTTAAACAAAAGAGTAAGATTTTTTTTTTTTTTTTTTGGAAACAACAAAAGAGTAAGGTTTACGTGCTTTTAAAAAGTTTTAAAACTGTTTCCAAAAAAAAAAAAAAAAAAAGTTTTAAAACGAAAATTGATTTTCCTTTTCTTACAAGTTATTATCTTCCTTTGGAAGTCCTTAACGACTACCAACCAAGGTGTGTCAATTGCATGACAAAGGTTCCCGATTTTGCATGTACAAAATGAACCACCATTATAAGTTTTTTTTTTTTTTGGGGGTATCCTACCACCATTATAAGTTTTAACTTGAGGGGTATTAAACCCTAGTAAGTAGTAAACATGGTTATTGCTGTCACGAGGAAATAAACTTTCCCTTTTCTTGGATCACTGCATAAAAGTTGTCATATTTGTAAAAAAGTCGCTATATTGTTCTTCAGATTTTCTAAGTTATAGTGGTGGTTTTCATTGCTATTATTAATTATAATGTTATAAATTCTTTAACATTTCACAGGTTTCAAAAAGATCCAAAGATGGACCAACTTACAGAAATGGAAAGAGAATTGACTTTTCTGCGGGCGGAGGCAGCATGGCTTCAAGATCAACTTGCCAAGCTCGTGAAGAAAAATGAGGAGGAAGAAATGTCAGTTTTCACTTTGTTATTCTTAGTTTTGAATTTTATTATGAATTTTTCTTTGCCTTAACAATGGTCTTCAATTATTGGATATGTTTGTGAATTTAAACTAGTAATATGAATGAGACCGATTATATTTATTATCATTTTAGATTTATCACTCTTATTATCTTTTTAATTTATCATCGTTAGATTAATTTGAAATCAATGGTAGTAAATTTATTTTTCAAACGTTGATTTTGAATTGATCTAACGATAACTAAAAAGGTAATAAAAGTGGTAAGCTTAAAATGATAATAAGTATAACCGTCCCTATATACATATAGGGTTTAACGTTTCTCATATTGTAAGAGATAAACTTATCTCTTACACACACACACAAAAGTGTGTGGGACCTATGTGAACTTGTTGTAAGTAGAATAAAGAGAAAGAGAAAATATGAGCCCCACACACTTTGGGTGTGCATGAACCTTTCCATAATTAGTTTTTTTTTTTTAATTTCTGTTTCCGGGAACATAAATGGATAGAAAACTCGTTTGGTAAAATCAGTTTATTTTTTTGTTCCCGGGATGAATCGGTTTAACTTTTGTGCCAGGAAATAAAAAACAATAAAAAATGTTCTTTTTTTTTGTTCCCGGACACAAAATGAGAAATATTTGTCTCTCTCAATCACACTCCACCACTACTATCATCACCACACCACTACCATCGTCGCACCACCACCACCACCTCGACGTCACTACCACCATCACCGTCACCAACCACCACTACCACTACCACGTCGCCGCCACCACTACTGCCATTGCCGCCGCCGCTGCCACCACCATTATCGCCACCACCATTACCGCCACCACCACTACTACTACTACATCATCGCCAGCATGTCATCACCATCACCATCGTCACAGCCACTGCTGTCACTACCACTACCATTGCCGCCACCGCCGCCACCGCTGTCGCCACCACTACCATTATCATGCCACTGCCATCGCCAGCACTACACCACATCCACCGCCACCACCATGTCATCATCATCACCATCGTCACAGTCACTGTTGTTACCACCGCCATCATTACCGCCGCTGCAGCCACTATGCCACCATTACCACCACCGTCGTTGCCGCCGCCACCATGACCACTGTCGCTACCATGCAATCACCACTGCCACCACCATGCCACCACCTCCACCGCCACTACTACAACTATCATCATCGCCACTATTACCACCACTGCTGCCGGCACCACCACCAACATACCATATGAAAAGGAAAATGATGATCCGAAAAAATTTATGCTTAATAGGAATAATTTTTTATTCTATTATTTGTTGTGTTATCAAACACAATTCTCATTCTAAGAATAAAAATAAAATATGCTATCGAACACATTTTTTTCTCAGAAACTGTTCCAGGGCACATAAATAGAAAAAAATTATTTCTTTTCAAAAACAGTGTTAAGGAACAGAATGGTTGTCATGCACACCCTTTATGTGTGAAAGATAAATTAAACCCATATATATATATATATATATATGAAAAAAATATTTCTACAACAATTTTATATAAGCTTATCTATAGTTACCCTTTATAACTATGTACTACTGGTAGTATATAGTTATGATATTATAGTTGTTTTTTTCTCTTTCTCTATGTCACAAGACAGGTTCTGTAAAATGACTAAGGAGAGAAAAAAAAGTAACTTTAATGTTATAACTATGTATTACCGGTAATACATAGTTATAAAAAGTAGTTTTAGATAACCTTATCTAAATTGGCCTATATATATGTGTATATATATATGTATATACAAGAATAAAATCAACTTATATCGGTGTAAGAATAATAAATCTTACAACAAATCTTAACTGTTGATTTTCGTGTATCTAACGGTTGAGATTTATTGGGAATTAATAATTAATTAATGAGTGAGATCTAATAAATCTTAACCGATTAGATGCACGAAAATTAACGGTTAAGATTTGGTATAAGATTTATTATTCTTATACCAGTATAAAATGATCATGCCTAACATATTATATATGGGGTTTACATTTCTGCAGCTGCTGTACGTGCAGCAATCAAATTCTTACCATATATATACTTGAAAGCATTAAATGCGAGGAATCATATGTTAGTATATGGATGTCCTAGAGACAATCTTTTGATTAGATTAGGACATATGTAGACCTTTTATATTGTCGCAAATAAAAGCACTATTTATCCTGTTTCATATTTTGTCTCAATATTACTATTAATATTTATATGAGTAACTGGATAAACCCCTTGGAATAAAATAGGTATCTCTTGAGTATCTGTGATGAGATCACGATCATGAGGATTCAAGGATACTGCATGTTTATTCCTAATTTTATGTTCCTAGTCTAGAGACACTGAGAATGGGGATCAGTGATCTCGGGTAAGACTAGCACGACTTATCTACTTGTATTTGGATGCAAGGTAAAGACCTCATGAGCTACAGATATGGAGATGTCTTAGCTAAAGTCGTGGGTGGACCTATAAGGGTATAGCTCGCACTGAACAGACCACAAAGAGACTCTATGAGGAACTCTCACAGAAAGTATCATTAGAGTAGTCTCTTTATATTTGGGTATGTCTTTCCTAAGACCAGAAGTTATTAACTAGACTGTGTTCTAGAAGGCATGCTTTGATTGTGCACCTCGTCTGCCTGAAATATGGAGACTCATAGGTATACTGTTGGGCTTGTCCTGAAAGAACACAGGGCTAGGGTGATAAGCTGAAGGAATTCGTCAAATCTCTGTGAGAGATTAGGTTATCTGTAAACCGGAGAAATCGGGATGACATTTACAGGGACTCGAGAATCTATGCATAGTAAAAGAGATCATGAGATGATCTGCCTTTAGAGTCTGTAAATTGAAGATTCCATATTTCGAATAAAGCTTAACCTAAACCGCAGGGGTTGATACGCTTCCTTACCCTAGGTTTTATGGGAAGGTAACCGAGACGAAAGGAAATATATACGGCAACCAAATATGTGTAATAGGATGATCAAGTCATTAATCTAACTAGTTCTGGGGCAACAAAGCATTGTTAGTGCTCTGTGTTGTCATTAGATGGGTTGTGGGCTTATTGGGCCCAAGCCCATTTATGTCAGTGGCTATGTTGGACCTAATGGGTCACACACTAACACCTAATTGTCTAGATGCTCTAGCATTAAATGTATTGAGCCTAACAATTGTTATTAGCCCAAGAAGTAGTTTGGAACTCCACAGATAGGGTGGAAGGCGCATGGATCAAAGTAATGGGCTTGGATAGTCCAAGACATTACTAATTAATTTAATTAGTTAAATTAATTATCAAATGTTTAAATTTTGAATTTTGAATTTGAATTTTGAATTTTGAATTTTGAATTTTGAATTTTTTATTTGAAATTTGAAATTTGAAATTTGAATTTTGAAATTTGAAATTTGAATTTGAATTTAGAATTTGAATTTGAATTTAAAATTTAAGTGTTTGAAAGTTTGAATTCAAATGTTTGAAATTCGAATTTGAATTGGCTATGAAAAGTTGTTTCATAACAAAAGGATAAGATGAGATCTTGTTGGAACATATCAGGAGGAGATCTTTTGGACATAATCCAAGGATAATGGGGCGCTGGTTTTGGGTAGATTTGATCATCAAAATCAGCTCCAGAAGATACGGTCTGTTGGGAGAATATTTGATTTAAGTTTGAAATGCAACTAACTCAAATGTATCTGGTCACCTTTTAGGCTATATGAGGTGCACCATATAGCTGATTATATGATGATTCATGATCAGATTTCTGACTAGGTTTTGAACTTAGTCTCATGAGAATATTCTGGGATGTTGTTGGCAATTTTTGAAATGCAACAACTCCACTTATTCTCTCCCCATAGGGCGCCACTTTGATCAGATTTTTGGGAGAAAAATCTGATTTGTTTTTGAAACTTAAAAGGCTCCTCTTGTGTGCTTAATAAGTAGTTAGTTCCTCCTTAGGTTTTTGTGAAAATCAAGCCTTTCTCTACTCATCTATGCGCCCCCTTGTGAGGTTTTCTCTTAGAACACTTCACTCTTCTAAACACTTTTACCTAGCCTCCTGCATCACACACTGAGCGCATAGCAAGCCTTATTGTGGTGATCAATCGGCGGCCTTACTGGAAGGAGTTCATGTATCTAGACACGGGTGGTGTGAATCAACGTTAGAGGGTCTGAACCCTTCAGACCTACCTTGATCATCTTGAGTTTTCACGAACAAGGTATGACATACGTCTTAAAGTATGTATCTTGATATGCATGTGTGTTCCACTTGCGAAAATTTTTGTTTTTCCCTCACGCATGTTTCGGCCTTCAAGGCCAATTCTACTTTCATCGTAACCATACAAAAGATGAAAGCATTAAATTTGGGGAATCATAACTATACACCTGTCGTTGCTGTACATAAAGCAGCTGCAAAAATGATTTTACCATTATATATATATATATATATATATATATATATATATATATATATATATATATATATATATAATTGTGTGTGATGTCCTATGATACAATTTCTTTTAGACAGAGATGTTTTTATTGATCAAAATTACATCATCGATGTTGTAATTAGCACGCCTTCAATTTATTTGTTTTATGGTATAGGAAGGCATTGAGTCTTGTCTTCGCTAGTTAAATTATTTTCTTTCACAAGGAGTAACCAAATGGTGGTAGCTCAGTTGGCGCATGGGAGCTGAGCAGGTGGGGGTGAGAGCATGTGTTCGAACCTCTCCAATACCACCTTTGAGAGAGGTTTAAAGCTTTAATCCTAAACCCGTGCCAAATCAGACTAGTCGCGAAGCGATGAACCGATGGAATATTTCCAAAAAATAATGAAAATTGACTCTCCTTTTCTTCCAAAAAGTGAGTAGCATCTACAAACCAAGGTTTATCAATTGCATGACAAAGGAACATGCTTTCATGTATGAGTTTAATGTTTCTTATGTTGCAAGAGATGATTTTATCTCCCACACATATATAAAAGTGTGTAAAACCGATGTGAGGCCACGTGAATAATAAACAAGGGTATTGTTGTAACAAGGAAATAAACTTTCTCTTTTCTTTGACCACTGCATGAAAGTTGTCATGTTTGTAAAAATGTGGCTATATTGTTCTTTAAATTATCTTAAGTTATAATGGTGATTTTCATTGCTGTTATTGATACTAACATTATTAAATTCTTTAAATCTCCTATAAGTTTCTGATTTCTTGTAGTGCACTTCACAGGTTTCAAAAAGCTTCAGAAATAGACCAATTTTCAAAATTAAATAGGGAAGTGGCTCATATGCGGGCAAAGACAAGAAGGCTTCAAGATCAAATTGCCGTGTTAAACGAGGAGAATGAAATGAAAAATTTCATACGTCAAATCTATCAAGATGGCAAGCCTTTATCTGAATTTCGGCGTAATGATTTGAGACGTTTGCTTCGTTATGTGGAGGGAAAAATGGAGATGCAAAGGCAGGCTGCACAAATGTCGCCTCCGAATTCATCACCAACTCCGAATGAGGTCCAAGATGGTATAGATTCGGGGGTCAAAGTAGATGAACAAGTTTCGGAATAATAATCATTCATAGATTTGGTGAAAGAACATGATCAAATGAATACTAAGGAACTGCATGTGGCTGGGTGTGTTTGGTACAAGAGAAATTTTTTGGTGACCGGGAATCATGATTAATGAGAATTCAGTAGAAATTGAGTTTACTTGGAATCTTACGAAAGATGTGTTTGGTTCGCCAAAATATTACCGGGAATATTAGGTAAAAATTACTGATTCCATATTTGGTTTAGAACGAAATATGACTTGGAATATGAGGTTATTTTACAAAAATAACCCCAAACTATTTTTACTTTTGTAATTGATAGATTGGGTCTAGATTTTTATGTGTATCGAGGTATTTTTGTCTCAAAATTTATTGTTGTGCTTTCCCTTTACTTGGTATTCTGATTGGTATTCCGAATTACCATATTATTTTTGGTAATCTGAATAGTGACTTTTCTTTATAAATCAAATTACCGGTAATCCTTGGATATCCGGGAATCGTAATTTATTCCTTCTACCAAACGTGGTAATTACATTTACCAAAGAATGATTACCGGTAATCCTCTCCAAAAACTTGAACCAAACACCAGTGTGGTGTTGGTTTGGTGTTGTCTCAAGACAATTTTAGAGATTTCAATAGTTGAAATGATTCAGGGGCTTTGCCACCAGGAGATTTTATTTTTCTAATTCTAAAATTGTTATAACTTAACTATGCAATGTTTAAATTTGTATGCTCTGTCTGCATTATTAGTTATTTATTTTAGTCTAGTCCTCACTAATCTAACCAGACCTATGAACAGTCATATAAAGGCCTATGGCCTAGACTCATAACATCCATTATACTTTGAAGAGCTCGTTTAATGTGCTCCCGGAGCTTCTGCTCCCATTCCAAAAAGTGGAAAAAAAAAAAAAATGAACTGAGAAGAAATTAAAAAAAATATATATATAAATGAAAGAAAATTTTCTTTTTTTAATAAAAGATCATGGAATAGTGTTGTGGTCCTAGAGTATAATAGAAAAATTCACTTTGAAGGGGATGCTAGTATAAAGTGTGCCGAATCAGCAAATTTTTGATACACTTAATGTAATGAACTCGGTACACTTGTTTATTAAAACGAGTAATTTTTTTTTTTCACTTTTATCCTTTTTTATATATTTTTCTCTATGTCCCCGTAGACTTTCTCCATTTAGTAAATGGTTGTACTAGTAGTAGTAAAAATATTTCCTCCAAGACACTTAGCTTATGTCATAATTTGGTCAATTTTACAATTTTTTTTTTTTTTTTGTATAACATTTTACAAATTTTTCTTACTCTACCATTATATAGACTTGAAGTAAAATAATAGTATTAACATAGGGAAATACTTTTCTTATTTTGTAAGAAAATACTTATCTCATGTTGTAGAAATAAAATTATAAGTGAGATTCATAGATAAGAAGAGAGAGAAAAGAGTGGTAGGATCCAATTATTTTTTGTGTGTGTAGGAAAGTTGTTTATCTCATGTAAAATGAGATAAACATAACCTATTAACATAAATTTATGTAATTGTTAATTAAATTGGATCTACTAAAATAATTTGCGGAAAATTATTCTAATTATTTTGGTGTGTCTCCTGGACTGATTAATTCAACTTTTTTCAGACTTACAAGGATTTAGAATTCACTCAGAAAAAGTTTTTGAATATTAAGTGAATACTTATTCACCTTCTCAAAGTTTTTGTTTAGCATCCGCTCAAGATTTGTAACCTATGTAGCATCGATACGACACGCGATACGAGACACGACACGACACGACACTCCGACACGTCAATCCTAAAAAATTATGGATTTCGACACGTTGGGACACGTTTTAATATTAAATAATATTTTTAATTTATATAGTGTATTTTTCATTTAATATTTAATAATTTAACAAAAAAATGAAATTAAATTAATAATACCCATAAACACGTTATAAAGATGAAAGCTTTAATAAAAAAAATAAGAACTGGGATGAGAGAGATATAATATCAGATAGAGAGATCAAATCATATTAGAGAGAGATCAGAGAGAAGAAGATACAACAAGAGCGTGATAGGAATTGACAACAATGATGCTGAGATGATCTCTTATCTACTTAAGGGGAAAAAAGACAAAAAGATAAAATTGATATGATCAGGTGGAAGCTTTATTAATATATTTTAACTTTTTAAAAAAATAATTTTTTTTAAAAAAAATTAAAAAAAAAAAAAAAAATTACGAAAATGTCATTTGACCGTGTCGGACACGGTCAAATTCGCGTGTCGGAATGGTCAACGTGTCGGAAAAAGTCAACCGCGTGTCCGACACCGTGTCGGAGCGTGTCGGAGCGTGTCGGACCCGACTCTTCCTGTTTTTACAAGTGTCGGTGCTTCCTTGTTTGTAACCCCCCAAAAAAAAAAAAATTAAAAAAAAAATCTCTTTCGTTCGAACACATGTTTGGGGATTGAGAACTTTTTTTAGTTTGGTCAAAATGTTATGAGGAAAGGTCTAATTATAATTAACTAGTGTTTGTTGAAATGAGCATGGTTGTTGACAAAAGAGTTATTTTGATTTGCATGCCGAACAGGGTTTGCGAATATTTACGAAAAATGAAGTAATGGGAAATCTTTATAAACAGTTTTTTTTTTTGGTGATAAAATATATATATATATATATATATATATATATATATATATATATATATATATTAAAAAAAATTAAAGCCAACTTGATTGCATATTCCTAATTAACTCAAATATGATTAACTTTGATTGATTCATGTCAATAAATATAATTCCCTTGAATCAAATTTTATCACCCTAATAACACTATAGTTAAAGAGGTGGAGATTCAGATGACATGCCTTTATTTATTGTCCCAATATTCTTACGGGGATATAGTTTTTTATCTTGAGTTTTATTAATCATATGTTAAAGAAAACAAATTATCTCATGTAAAGCTATCAAAAAGCCCTAACCCCGTGGGCCAGCCCTTGGCCCTCATTTTCAGCCCTCATGTAGTAGGGTTATTTTTCAGCCCCTTTTTTTTTGCCCTATTCTTTTTGGGTCACAGAAGGGTCAACCGCGGGCCAGCCCTTTTATCAAAACCTAATTTCTTTTTTTCGCCGTTCTTCTTCGCCACGAGCGATTTTCTCTTCTTCTCTTAGTTCTTCTTCTTCACAAAGGCTTTTCGACTCGTTCTTCTTCTCCTCTGATTTCTTCTTGCTTCAACTAGTTCTTCTTCTTCTTCTTTACAAAGGTACAGTTTCCGTTCACAATTTTTTTTCTTCTCCTCAATGGCTTCATATGTTTTTCTTGGGATTTTTCTGCTTGCTTCATATGTTATCATGGGGTGTTTGCCCTTTAACTTTGAAATTTCATCTGGGTCTTTTTTTTTTTCAATTTAAATTGTGCTATTGAGTAACTTTAAGCCTTCTTGTTTGAATTTTTCTTTGATTTTGTGGATTTGTTTGCAGAGGTTGATATACCAGCTTTGCAAGGGTGTTGTTTTCTGCCACTATCATCGAATCTTGCATAGGTATTTGTTGTTTTGAAGGACCAATGAGATTTTTGTAGGGGTGTGCAAAAAAACTGGTTCACTTGCCCTGCCCTTGATCCGACCTTGACCCGACCCATAAATACCCATATTTTTTGAACTGGTTTAAATACTGACCCACTTTTATTTGGTTCAGTTTTAGACCTGACTCGTTTTAATATTGACCGACTGACCCAAAACTTGACCCATACCCATTATGTGAAAAAAAAAATCACCATTACATTAAAAGAAAAGTTTTAACGTAAAACAATTACGTCAAAATTTTTTATGGAAAATATTTTCATAAAAATTTTTGCAAAAGTTTTTGACGAAAAAAAATTTCATCAAAATTTGTGACTAAAAACATATCGGTAAAAAAATTTGACGGAATATTTTTTTTGTCAAATTTTTTTACGGAATCTAAATTTCGTCAAAATATTTCACAAAAAAATATATTCATAAAAACTTTCAACGAAACACATTTTCATCGAAATTCTTTGACGGAAAAAAATTTCATCAAAATTCTTTACAGATTTCAAATTTCGGCGAAAGTTTTCGACGGAAACATTTTCGTTAAATTTTTTGACAAAAAAAAATTACGTCGAAATTTTTAGCGAAATACATTTCTATCAAAAAAATTTGACTAAATATTTTCATCAAGTTTTTTGATAAAGAATATATCCATCAAAATTTTCAACGGAACACATTTCTGTAAAAAAAAATTCATAAAATTTTTTGACAAAAATATTTCGATAAGAAATTTTGACAGAAAATTTTTTGTGTCTAAATTCTTTAGAGAATCTAAATTTCGTCGAAAGTTTCAAATGAAACATTTTACTCAAAACAATTTCCATTGAAAATTTTGACGGCAAAAAATTTCATTAAAATTCTTTACAGATTTCAAATTTCGGGGAAAGTTTACGACGGAAATATTTTCGTCATCAAAAAATTTTGACGGCAAAAAATTTCATCAAAATGCTTTACAGATTTCAAATTTTGGCGAAAGATTTCGACGAAAACATTTTCGTCATAAAAAAATTTTGACAGCAAAAAATATCGACGGCAAAAAATTTCATCAAAATTCTTTACTGATTTCAAATTTCGACGAAAGTTTTCGACGGAAATATTTTCGTCATCAAAAAATTTTGACGCCAAAAAATTTCATCAAAATTCTTTACAGGTTTCGAATTTTGGCGAAAGTTTTCGACGGAAACATTTTCGTCATAAAAAAATTTTGACGGCAAAAAAATTCATCAAAATTATTTACAGATTTCAAATTTCGGCGAAAGTTTTCGACGAAAAAATTTTCGTTAAATTTTTTGACAAAAAAAAAAAAATTTCGTCGAATTTTTTAGCGAAACACATTTCCATCGAAAATTTTCAACTAAATATTTTCATCAAGTTTTTTGATAAAAAATTTCCATCAAAATTTTCAACGAAACACATTTCTATAAAAAAATTCCGTAAATTTTTTTGACAAAAAACATTTTGACGAAAAAAATATTCTTTCAAAATTCTTTAGAGAATCTAAATTTCGTCGAAAGTTTCAAATGAAACATTTCCCTCGAAATAATTTCCGTCAGAACACATTCCCATCGAAATTTTGAACGAAAAACATTCCGTCAAATTTTTTGACAAAATTCTTTTTTCGTTTAAAACATTTGATGGAAGAAATCATTTTCGTCAAAACTGTTGACGGAAACTAAATTTCAATAGAAAACTTTTTTTTGTAAA